GAAATTTTCTGACGAATTTTTCTACTCTCGTCCTTTGCTGGCCAATAGTGCCTCAAAATGGGTAGATGTCACTGGCAGTTATGTTGTAAATCATATAGTAAAGAAGAAAAATTAGCTCACAAGGGATGACGCGTTTTACTTCAGGTACGATATCTATGAATCATGAACTGTTCTAATAATTTGGCCAGAAAACAATTTATATTGATTAACCAACCGAAGTTTCTGAATAAAGACGAAAAAGAACCTCTAAAATATATATTGTTTTTGGATTTCGATCAAATTTGACTTGAACTTGTTTTACTAAGCTTGAATCAGCAGAACCATGCAGTTTTTTTCTAGGTTTCGTCAAAATGTTTTTGGACTTGATTCACTCTCCTCGCCCAAGCTTTTGACGATTTTTTATTATTTGCTATAAACTAAAGTAGCCCAGCCAAAAAAGCAGTACTGATTTTGATTTTAAAATACCTGATGTTCTGTTGACCAATTCCAATTTGTCCCCTGGTACCCAGCAACTTTGTGGTATGACTAGTGTCCAATTACGTTCCCTCGTGGATCTCATTTGAAGTTTCTCCAAAATGCCCGCATCCTTTTTGCACCCAAGAACAGTTTTTGGGTCAGCTGCGATGTCTTGGCTGATTCTTTGCAAAGCTTTGTAAATGCACGAAGCCAAAATCGTGTTCAATTTGGCCCCGCTGGATGCTTGGATATCTTTGAGCATTTTCAAAGGCATTTGGATTGGCCGCAAAATGTACCTGTTTTGATTAAACGATTATTTCCATTGATTATGTCACGATATTTCTGAGAGAAAGCTGGCTTAAAGTTTGATTAATTATCGAAATAAAATTATGTTGTCTACCCTGTATAAGATCTGCTGTACATAGCTACATATGACTTGCTCTTTGGCATATTTTGTTGCTCTGTGCATGGCTTCCTTTTAATGAGTTAATTCGCTGCTTGGGATAAATAAGAGAACATTAAATTAGCTATTTAATTTGAGGCTTCATTTCCTAGCTATACTGTATTTGATTCTGAGTCCCTAATTCTTGCTTTGAAACAAATTTTTTCAGATTGTATGGAAATGTCAATAAGCACACTCAATACGTTTATTTGGGCTTCAGTGGAACAAGAATTTAATATTTTTCTCATGGCCCAAACTTTTTGTACAACTATGCATCCTGTCAGCATAAAAAACCAATCAAGCTTACCATGAAGCCACATGTTCTGAGGTGTTCTGTTAATTTTATTCATCTGTAAAATGTAGAAATAATTATTTAACTCCTCTTAGAGATGGAGAAAAATTAGACTTGATTGTATTGTCAGGACACAGCATGCAGTTATAAATTGAGCATTCTAAACATTTCTGTGCTAATGAGGTGTAATGAATGAACACATTAATCTATTCTGAGTGGAGAGCTATTCTTGGTGTGAACTGACAATAACTGGTGCATGCTGGGGTCACAACCAGCAGTGCACATGGGCTATTCTGGGGTTACAAGCATGCGCCTCATGTATAAATGAAATTATGCTACCATTCCAGGGCTACATTTGGTGCACGAGTGTGGGATAACATGAGAACACACAAGTGCACCAGCTGTAACCTTGTTGTGACTTTTTGTTTAAAAATGTTACCCTGAGTATAACCCTGGTGGGAACACAAAACTGGTCAGATTAAGGATGTACATGTGTAAAATAAAAACTTTGGCCCACTTCATTACAGGCACATCCCTAGTGTGCACCAATTTCCCTATTTGGGATAGTGAATGAACACATTAATCTGATGAATTAATGGATTAACACATTAATCTATAATGAAATAATTATGAAAAGAATCAATCACCTTCCATCCATTTTCCCTCTCCTAGCATGAATAGGATTCAAGTCACTTGGCCAGAACCCATTGACAAAGTAGGCCCTGAAGAGAGCCAAAGGGATCATGAGGAATCCAGAAAGACAGAGCCAAGCTCTTTGGACACTGCTGACTGCCTTCATGTGCTGGAAAAGCACACTGGGGTCTGACGCGGGGTCCATGTCAAAGAGCTTTGGAAGGATCACCAAGCTCATGGCGCCTCCATCCAAGAAACAATGGTCAATGTGCATTAATATCACAGTCTCCATGTTTCCATGTTGTGCGTTGCTTGTTGTGGGTCTTTTCCTGTAGAACACATGAAATCGCCATCTTGGCGCTAGTCGATCCTGTGGGAAAATCTCTGAATTGGCCACTTGCTCCACAGCGTCCTCAAACTCCTTGTCGGTCTCAACTACCTGTCACGAAGTTTATCAATGAAAAATTATTTGAGTTATCAATGAAAAATTATTTGAGTTATCAATGAAAAATTATTTGAGTTATCAATGAAAAATTATTTGAGTTATCAATGAAAAATTATTTGAGTTATCAATGAAAAATTCTTCAAGTTCTCTGAAATTTTATACTTGTGCCAAAAAATGTTCATAAATGCAAGAGACGAAAAATTCCTTAGCATTACCCAATTTTTAAAGATCAGGAAAATGACTCAAAGAATTATTTCACTTGGATGATTTTCATTTTTTGGCTTTATTTTAAAATGGCCACCTCTTGGCAAACATTTGAAAAGATAAAACAGCAACTTTTTGAAATGCATGCACTTTTTAGCACAAGGTATGCTGTGAGAAAACCAATTTTTATCTGGCTCCCTTAATTTTGCTAAAAAATTCGTTCATGCAGCATTTTTGCTATGCATGAGTCAGCTATTTTATGTATGGTACCCACAGTAATCATATACATCATGCCTACAACCTTAATTACCTCGCACAACTTATTGAAGAAAAAAATGAGTATCCAACATAAATACATTGTATTACTTGTACAGTAATCTTTCAAATTGTTTCTGAAAGAAGTGATATGCCTGTTTCATACTTGGGTTATGTGTTGCTCAAATAATACATTTATCACATAAACTCAAAAAGCACCCCTTCCAACTTTTCATGCAAATTGCAAAAGTTGGGTACTTGTGGTATACAAATCTTCAAAAATAGAAAAATCCACTTTGAGTCATTATTAAATTAAACAAAAAGTTCCAAACAAATGCCGCATATTTTAAAACCCACAATATTTGAAAATGTAATTTTAGGCTCTAGCAAAAGCTGGATAAAATTTCCCTCACTTATGAAACAAATTCTTAAATTAAACGCTTCAGTAATCTTTTATCTGAGACTAAGTTCACATTTTCTACTTGCTGAAATTTTTAAAGTACAGTATTGAATTTTGAATCAGGCAATAACTGGGGTACACATTTTACATAGCTTTTTTGCAACATATTTTTGGAATAAATGTGTTTTTTATGTGCTTTGGGATAGATTTTTTTGGAAAAATTGTTCTTGAAATCAGGGTGCAGTACAAGTACACCACATCTTACCTTAGGGTGCATGGTATGTGGTACCTTTCAATTCAACCCTAATCCATTGCTGGACTAGTGTCCAATTTCAAAGCACTAAAATTGCAAGACAACATCAAAATGCCATGTAGAAAACATGCCATTTGATGTTTCATGTCTCTCTGCAGGTTCCATTGTGTGGCAAAGGTAAAATTTAGAGTCAGTACCTCCTAGCAAAGTTATCTGTCAAATTGTGGGATGGTCACATTGCAATTGCAGGAGGTCAAATAATTCCAAGGTGCCACCTGTACTGGACTTGATATTAAATACTGTATGTATGCATTTACTATATGGTGATGGTAAATGATGAGAGGAATTTTTCTTCATGCAAGAATGACTGAAGAAAACTATGAAAATGAATCCCCCCCCAAATGTTTTTTTAAACAAAAAACATAATAATAATAAGAAATAATAGGGAAAATACTGTAATCTAATTAAATGAAACAAGATAACCAACCAGAGGAGATCCTTCGGCATCCAAAATGNAGGACCATGACCAGCAGTGAATCCGCGGTTCGCATGGCTTTCACTATCGTCGAACAATCCGAAGGTGTCAACAAATCCGCAGATGCACCGAATTTGACTTTGACGATTATCCTCATGATGATTCTGTTGATAGCTGCGATTATCGCGACTGGTAAGTAAAATAGTATCGCCGCCACTGCTGACAACAATCCATTCAGGAAGTTTATCTGAATACCTGCACGGTACAAAGTGACAGGACAGGGTCTATACTACACGACCCTTCGAAAAGAAGGACATTAGTGTTTTCACGTTTGACCCAGTGTTATGAACCACGTGGACTCTCTAAGTCCCCAATGTTATGTGTGCTCTGGTGTAGATGCAATTTTGAAACCATTCCAGGGTTACATTTGGTGCACAGGGTTACCAAAGGTAGACTGCCTTTGGTGTACATTTGCTGCATGGGCTATGGATACCCTCTATGATGTAAACACATCATACTATTGCAAATTTGGGTTGCATACATATTTGTAAAGAAAATGTTGGCACACTTTGGGTGAATATCAGCAGGGTTACCTGTGTGCATTTTACTTGTGTAGCCAAAGTACGTGTGCACCAATCAATACCCACCAGCCCGAGGGAAGCTATATTCTTTGTGTGACCCCACAACTGGGGCCCACTGGGGTCAAAACTGGTGTAAATGGGCTATTCAAGGGTTACAAGCATGCACCTCTGTAGATGAAATTTTGCTACCATTCCAGGGCTGCATTTGGTGCACAAATGTGACATAACAGGAGTGTCACACAAATGCACCAACTGTAACCTTG